AGAGAAAACACTTCATAACATTTTATATCAATTAAGACAAGATATAGTCATGTATACTCTTTTAACCTTTGTTGTTACTTTATATCTTAAACTCATTATAATATTTTAAATGCATTATTAAAAATAACAATGTGTATAGAAGAAATTATTATATCATTGCATTACTTGTTATAATTTCAGAAAGGTATTGTATGAGTCAAAAAATAGAAAAACCAATATTATCAGGTCAACGCATAAAGACCAGAAAAAGAGGTATGTTTTGATGATAATAACAATTTTAAACTGATATTTAGACGTATAATTAAAAACAAACTTATTTTCAGATGAAAAAGAAAAGTATGATCCAAACGGATTTAGAGATGCTATTATATTGGGTTTGGAAAAAGCTGGTAACGACCTAGACGCCATTTCGAAGTACTTGGATGCAGCTGGTTCAAAATTAGATTACCGCCGATATGGGGAAGACCTATTTGACATCTTAATAGCTGGGGGCCTTTTGGTTCCTGGTGGTTTTATTGTTCAAGATGGTGATAAACCAGTCAAAACTACTGCTTGCGTCTTTGAGCAAGCAGAAGATATGGAATCAATGCGGAACTTTGAACAAGTAATTTACCTTTTTTATGACATGCGTTTATAAAATTTTGAATATAAATTAATTTTTAGGTGTTCATTAAACTTATGCGACGCTATAAATATCTGGAAAAAATGTTTGAGGATGAAATGAAAAAAGTATTGGTCTTTATGAAAGGATTTTCTCCTAAGGAAAGAATAAAATTGGCTAGGATGACAGCTCTGTGGATTTCGAATGGTTCTGTACCACCATCGGTTCTTTCAGTTTTAATCAATGAACATCTCGTCAAGGATAATTTAGCACTAGACTTTTTGTTAGAAGTCTTTGTTACTTGGAGAGATGAGAAAGGCTTATCTAGTTTAATGACTGCATTGAAAAAAGGCAATATTGAACGAAGGTACTGAACGTTTTATTCAATCTGTCATATAATACCTTGCATTTATATCTTATATTGTTGTGTTCTAATGAAATTTTACCACATAAGGTTAATGGAATTTGTACCACCCAATAAACGAACAGAGGAATATTTTCGATCTGTATTTGAAGCTGTTGGTCTCGCAGATATTGTAAAATTACATAAAGCTCAAGCAAGTCAGGAAGCAAAACGAGATTTACAACAACTTCTATTGGACGATTTGGCTGATAATCGCCCAATGAAAGATGTTATACTTGATCTCAAAGAAATGGCACAAAGAAATTGCATTCCTGAACATGAAGTTATTGGTTTGGTAAATGTGGCTTTATTACTACACAGTTATTCATTTAAAGTATTAGTAAACTAAAAACTCTAGATACACCAATAATATAGTATTGTAACTATTCACACTACTCTGAACACCAATATAGCATCACCTGTTTGAGATGATTGCTTTGTGGTGGATAATTATAGTAATTTCAATGCACTCGCTAGATTTCAAAAACTATCTGTTAAGAAGCCTAGAAGGTATATCAAAATTTTCAATAATTTAGTTTTATTCACATTATTAGGTGCATTTGGTAGTTAATCGGAATATTTCTTCTATTAATAAATTTTAAATTTAGCTGGTAAATATAAATGAACATGTTTAAACATAACCCAAGGTGATTGAATTTTTCTTATAATTTAAAATTATGCTACGCTAATATTTCCGATCGATTGAATGTTCCTTTGACGAAAAACGAATTGAAGTATTCCATAATAACGATTTAGAAGCTTTTTAACGGATCGTGTTTCTGAAACTCTACGAGTGCGAAATCTTGAAGTCTGATAACTTTTATGTCACATTGTCCGTTCGTCATTGCACGAACAATTCAGCGTGAGTTACAAATTCAATGAGAGAACTCTCTCGTCTCTATATTATTACTGTAACTTGTAATTAGTTATTATTCATTTATAGTTATCTAGTAATTAAATTAATATTTTAACTTCAATTTATAGATTTGGGTTGTTGTAATGGGTCAAGCCGAGTGGAACAAAAAGGAAGAACTGGTAGCTGATCAAGCACTGAAACATTTAAAAGTTTATACTCTACTGTTTGATGCTTTCACAGTCACTGCCAGATCTGAGCTAGCACTTCTTCTCAAAATTCAGGAATTCTGTTATGAAAATATGAACTTCATGAAAGTCTTCCAAAAAATCGTTTTACTATTTTATAAAAGTATGTTATATGAAGTATAAAGTAATTTATATGAGTTCCATAAATATTTCTGCATTCTAATAATTTTGTTTGATTCAGCTGATATAATATCGGAGGAAGTGATTTTAAAGTGGTACAAGGAAGGCCATTCTGTCAAAGGAAAACTGCTTTTCCTGCATCAAATGAAAAAATTCGTAGAGTGGTTACAGATAGCCGAGGAAGAATCTGAATCAGGGGAAGAGGAGGATGGCGAAGAGGAAGAAGAAAAGCAACAAAAGTATTCGATTTGAATTTACACCGGGCACCATGAGAAAGCTATTTTTTCATTCTGAAACATAGCTTTCTTTACAAAAACCTGTCCTTTCTAGTAAAAAAGATATCGTAATAGAATAAGAAAAGAAAGTAGCTCTCTCGTGGATTTTACTGGATCAAGATTTAATTTTATTTGAATTCATTATATTTCTTTGTATTTCAGGATAACATAACCTTCATTATCAGAATCTAACTTTTGGATTTTATCCAAAATTTAAAAAAAGAATTAGGCATAAACTACAATTGGATTGTACTGACAAATAGAAATTTTTAAAAACCAAAGTTTGTATTATTGCGAGGCACAGTATGACGAATCAAGTATATAAAACTTTTTAATTGTTAATAAACAGGAATCGACATTACCGGCATCCAATTAGTGTGCAAGATAAAATGTAAATTTGCAATGTCCTTAAATTGTATTACTTTAAGAAGAAATATTTTGTGTTACATTTTTATAATACCGCA